ACGAGAACAGGGGAGCAGAGCGGCAGTCGAGGGGAAGGGGACAAGGGCAAGGGGGCAGATGGAGAGAGATCGGGGTGTGCAGGGCAGGTGGGGAGGGGGACGGGAGGAAGGCAGTGTCGAGGAAGGAAGGGTAGGGTTGGGGGGAAGCGGGGCGAATAGCGGGGGGGTGGGAATGGGAGAACCAACGGGGGGGGATGGAGGGGAGGGCAAGGGGGGAGAGGGAAGGGGGGGGTTGGGGAGGCTGTAGGGGATGGGGGGGGGAGAAAGGGATGGTAGGTGGGAAAGGTATACAGGAAAAGAAATACAAAAGAATAGAAACGCAGAGGAAAAGAAAAAGAGATATAGGGCCCAGCCGGCCGCAGCATCCCGGACCGAGCGCCGAGGAGTAAATGGCTCCGCCGCGCTCGCCCCGCGCTTTAAATACCCCCCGGCCCCGCCCTGCGCAGCCGCACTGGGGCCACGCGCACCTGTGCGCGCACCTGTGCTGGCCCCGCCCCCAAGGCCCCGCCCCCGGGCCCCGCCCCGCCCCGCGCCCGTAAATGCCGGCGGATCTACGCCCGCCCGGCTTTCCGCGGCGGATGCTCTTCTCGGGATGCGGCGGGACTGTCGCTCGGCGTTGTGAAGAAACTCGGACCGGGGGCCGCTCCCGACGCTGGCCGGAGCCTAAGGCGCTGAGGTGGGGCCAGGGCCGGGATCTGGGCCCGGGGGATTCGGGTCCAGGCTCTGCCGGCATCTATTGCTGAGGCTGGGCACAGCCGCGTCTTCCTCGGCGGGCGGCGTGTGCGTCTCCGGGCCCGAGGATCGAGGCGGGATCGGACCCGGCATCGCCGCGGGCGGGAAGAGCCGCTCCGGGACGGCCGCAGCCGCTCCTGCTGCGGCTGGGGTCCTGCCGGGTCTCCGGGCACGCTCCCGCTGCGGCCCCGGGGAACCGGGGCTGTACTGGTGCCGGGCCCGCCGGTGCGGCCCCGGGACCCCTTCGGCACCGCCGGCCCCGGGACTCCGTCGGTGCCTGCCCCCGGGACCCCGTCGGCACCGCCGGTGCCGGCCCCGGGATCCCGCCGGCACCTCCGCTCCCTCAGCGCCGCCTCCCGGCCCGCGGGCCGCCACTTGGCGGATAGGGAGCCGCCGCGCGGTCCCCGCGGACGCCGAGCCCTCCGCGGCCCGCCGAGGCCACCGCACCCCCGGAGGACGCGGCGGGACGAGCGCGGCTGGATCGCCGCGGTCGGAAGGAACGAGCCCCTCCGCCGCTCTCGACCGCGCCCGGCGCGGGAGCCCACCCGCTACCTGCCGCGTAAGACCCGATGCTCTCCTTCCTCTCCCCGCTTCCTCTGTGGCTTGCTCTCTCCGGGTTTGGGGGGAGAGGGACGGGGGAGGAAAGGGTAGAAGGAGGAGGAATACGGAGAGAAGTAAAGAGGGTAGATAGGGGAGATGAGGGGCGGTTTCTGGGGGGGCAAGGGGGGGGGAAATGGGGAGGAAGAAGGGGAATACGGGGAGAGAGAAGGAGAGCTAGGTGGGGGGGACAGGTGTCGAGGTTTTAAGGGGCAGATGGGAGGGGGAGAAAGAAGAGGAATTCAGGAAGAAGAAAGAAGAGGGAGCAGTGGGAAAGCTGAAGCCCCCACGACTCACCGGGGAAGCCTGGACCGGGAGCTCCTCCTACTCTCACCGCACTCATAGTAAACAAATGATCTACAGGCAATTTTCGGGGATTAAATCACCTCGGCCCCGCCCCACACACCTGTGTCGGGCCCGGGGCCTGCCTCTGAAGCCCCGCAGCTGCCCGCGCTCAGCCTTGATGCCGTCGGCCCTGCCCCCGATGTCACCCGGACCCCGCCTCCTGGGACTCTCCGGTGTTCCACGTTGGAATCGGCTGTGCTTAATGTACAGGTCAGTGGGAATACCTAGATTTACCTATTCTATCCCCATAGCCAAGCAATCAGTACAGCATTCCTGTCTACTCTGACCCCAGCCACTGTCTTGCGTTCCAGCTGCTCCTCCGATGGAAAAGGTCAGGCAGGAATGTCAGGAAGCATATTTAATAGAGAAGGAATTGATCTGCATTCAAGTGCTGCCCTAATGTTCCTCAGGACTGGGACCGGAACTGCTGAACGCTACTGGCAGTGAGGCTTCTTCCCAGCCGGGTGATCCTGTATCCCAGGCTCCGCAGTGTGGCTGGACGCAGGCCTGACACGCAGGTAAGGCTAGGGCTCAAAAACTGTTGGCGGTGAGGCAGAAGTTTCTTTTGGCAAGTGGTGTCATCTTGCTTGGATGCTGGGGAGCGGGGCTGGGGCAGAGCTGCGGGTCAGTGGAACCAGCCCTGCTCCAGCAGTGCTGTCATCCTGTCACTGCACTGGGGCAAGCACAAATCTGTCACCTTTAATCTGCTAGAAATCAGATGCAACTCAGACATTATAGATTAGGCATGCAACATGTCATAGGTAAAATGGATTAGACAGCAGTGTATATTAAATAAATCCTTGTACGTAAAAAAGAAACCACAGAAACAATTACTAAGGAACAAGTCTGCAGTCTCAGGTCTAGAGCTGGTGGGGTTTGTCTTATACAGCAGCAGCCAAGTTCACATGTGCAGTAGGAAGAAGTAAAATCCTGTTAGCGTTTACGCTCAAACCGGGTCTGCCTTCCCAGTGGTGCAGAAAGTGCCTTCAGAGTCGGTGCTGTTAGAAATTAGCAACCCCGGTGTTAATTAGGTTCATCAGCAAGTGCACACAAACAGGAGCTGGAACAGAGCTGTGTTCCAGAGTACCAGATTTCATTCGGAATGCATCCATTGCAAAAACAGGAATGCGGAAAGGATGGAAAATCAATCGCTGTACAGAGAGAATGCCAGGGTTCAGCATGTTCTCCTAAAAGGCTAAATGCCAGCCTCAGCCCAGATGCTTTGTAGCACATGTACAGCTTGGCAGTAATGAGGCAGCTTCAGTAGAACGGACATCTGGACATGCTGCATCAGGGCTGTGCTGTGCCTTGGACACTCTTCTAGTACTTACACAAAAATGCAACATCCAGCTCTCACTTCTGGATACAGAACAACAGTGATGTGCTTAATGAAGAGCTGCTTTCGAGAGACAGCCTGTGGAGAGAAAGCTTCACACAGAGCTTTCTCCTCCTCTCCTAATAGTTTAGGAACACAAGGCTCAATGTGCTTTGAAAAAAAAAAAAAGTCTGGTATGAAATTAAGAAAAATGCTCATTTTTCCAAGTATATGATATTTAATTGTAATGAAATAAAATCTGAAAATGTCTAAATCAATTAAGAAGTAAACATGAGTTGTAATACTATACCTGTAAAATGATTAATTCCATTCATTGTCATTAGAAATTGTGTAAAATATTTATTAAGGGCTTTGCCTACAGAGGCACAACATAAATAGAGTAAGTCCTGCTGAAATGTGATCAGTTCGCAACTGGTTTGCGAACATCAGCAAGGCCACCCCGGGTGACAGTCCCAGCCTCAGGGCTCGGCCCCCGCACTGCCGGGGTTTGCTCCAGAGCCCCGCGCCGGGCAACTGCTGTGCCACAAGCCCTTGGAGTCCCTCGGGCAGGTGCCAAAGCCAGCAGAACGTGCTCGGAGAGGGAACGGGTGCTGCAAAGTTAATCCACTCCTTCAAACCCTTGGGCGTTCTCCACAGCCATGAGGAGCTTCTCCCGCAGGTCCTCGAAAGATTCATACAGAGGTAAGTCTAGGCGGTTAAAGCTAGAATGGACAAGGAAAGAGTCACGCAAATAATCCATGGAAAAACAGACTTTTTAAGAACTAGAAAAGATTAAATAATTAGGGATCCTGATTCAGAATGCAGCTTGTGGTCCACACTGTTCTCTGTACACCTCACACCTTCCTGAGTGAGCTCTCCAGTAACTGTGTGCTGCTTTCCTTTGGGAAGCTGGAAGCAGGAAATTGGTAAGAATCATTCTGGAGAGGAAAAAAGCCAACAGAAAGCCCTTCACTATATTTAGCGGATGGAAAACAATCTTTGTTAACGGACTGATTTATTAAAGCTCAGCAAAGATACTGGACTTAGAGCACAGATCCTTTTCTCTCTGGAGGGGAAAAAAGATTAAACATCCACATGAAAATCTTCCGAAGATAAAAGCTAGCAGAGAATTCGAACCCAAAGAGGATGGATTGATTTTGGAGCATGTTCAGGGTAGTATTGTTGTTTGTGTTTGGTAGGTTTTGTGCTTTTGTTTTCAGGTTTGTTTTTTTTTTTAAATTAAAGCTCATTATTCAATAGAATTATTAGTTTCACAGAAAGATCCCCAGTCTGTACTGATAGTCTTACTTTTGTTTTGAATTCTCCAATGATTTACAGGCTTCCTGTTGTTGTTCGGTGATGTCTGACTTGCTGTAGTTCATCACATCTACTTACTTACTTACTAGGATGGGGGAAATAAAATAATGTCCTTCAGTTTCTCAGTTAGTGAAGGCACTGGGGAACCCGCAGGATCAGATGCTGTTTGATGCAGAGCTAAGTATGGTCAGCAGCGTGGCCCTTGTGGCAGGAGCAGCTCTGGAATTTATGCTTTGGTGACTTACCAGGTGTGAGCTCGGGGCAGCTTATCAGGACTTCCCCACTGCTCTATTGTAAACAGCTGAGGACCATTTGAACCTGGGTGAAAATGAAAACCATATGAAACGGAAATTGCCTGACGCTACAGAGACCGCCTCAACGTTATTTTTAACATGAAATACTGGCATCGACTGGCTGGATTCTTCACCTGTAACAGGTACATTAAAACAACACGAATGTGGTTCTTTCTTTCCGTGCCCAGCGAGTTGGTTTCAGAGCTTGTGTAACGCCGAGGAAGTCGGCTCAGAGATCAGCATGTACGACTCGGCGCTACGTGTGGGTCAGAGGCTGGCTGGATTCCCGTGGCGCCGCAAGCAACTCACCGTAAAGTTCAGCAAATCCGTTCATAGGCACGCGTGACGTCCCGGTCACGAACTGCAGGAGCCGGATCCGTTTCTCAGCATCCATCAGCAGAACAGCCTGTTGGCAAATGGGACACCGTCAGCCTCAGCCTCCTTCCCTGGCCTGCATGGGCCCCGAGAGCAGCCCGAAGAGCTCTCAGAACACAACGGACTGAGAGTTCCCATTTGTGGGCTGCTCTGGCAAAAGCGACACCTGTCCTCACCTGAGTGAGGTGGGAGCAGGTCCTGCCTCCAGCACAACGCCCCCCCCCATTCTTAGCAGTTTTCATGAAGAAAAAAGATTGCAAAAAAGGGCAATAACTTTCACTTATAGGACCAGTCAGAGATGACACCAGTCTTACCTTCCAGAACCACTGGATAACGGGATGATTTGGGCAGTAACCATTTTTGTAGATGGTGTGTTGTCTCCAGTCATTGACATCGACGTCACCAAGGCCACACATCAGTAACTGCAGGGAAACAGAAGGTGGGATGTGAATGGGTGTGTGTTTCCCCGCACCCACAGGGTAACAAGGTGTCACTGCCCCTCAGGGCTCTGACCTTCAGTCATTTATGCACACACGGGAGAGCTGGAGCTCCTTCCCAGAGTATTCCAGTTACTGGAGAATGGCTGCACACTGCCATACTTCCATGTGTTTGGCTCAAATGTGACTGGCAGAGGCATGATGGCATTTATCCACTAAGCTACTTCCAGGCTTTCAGAGGCACCTCCAATCATCTCTCCGAGTGCAGTTCTTTGCACGTCACAAATAGATTTATTAATTAGGAAGAAAAATCTAACTTCCAAGCAAGGCAGCTTGTGTCTGCACATTCCCTTAGGGAGAGGGATGGATGACTGAAGAGCCCAGAACATGGCACATCTGTCAGAACTGTCAGCTTGGGGCACCAAATTGACTCACCTCCAGTTCATTTTCATCAAAAATTTTAATCAGATCAATAGGAAGCAGTTCTGTGAATCCCTAAAAAGAAAAAGCGCAAAGTTAAAACTCTCATCCCTCATAAATCCTAATTAAAAACACGAACAACCAAATTACTTCAAAGCTCAAATAATTAAACTTGAAAGAGAATGACCTTATTCTCATAAGGGAAAGGTGATATATTCTTACACAAGATAAAACTGAAAAATCGTGAACATAAGTATTCTATTTGCATTCCCTGCCAAGCTCCCCGCTCTCTTTACACAGACAGCAGTGGGTAAGAATTCTGTATCCCTACTTTTGTGACAGAAGGGAGCTAAAGAGCCTCACCTCCAGAAAGGCATTCATTTGTTTCTGCACTCTGTTGACAAACCGCCACTGGATGACCAGGCTGCAGAAAGAAACAAAACCCCATCAGAAAACCAAACTCATCAGCAGGTCTTGGCCAAGCGTTCAGAGGTTTCAGCAACCCCAAGTGCTTTCAGTTTACCATTTACAACTTACAACAGGTAACTAAGCAACTTTCACCAGTTGTTCCAATTTATTGGCTGGTGACTGATGGAATTTTGAAGAAACAAACCAAAAACCCCAGTGACCAAATCACAGTGGGAATATTTTTGCTCCTTTAGGTACCTATGTGAGCAGACAATTTATTCTTCCAGAGCACTGAGTGATTAAAAATTCCCAGCAAAGTCTGCAAGCTCTGAGGAGAGCTGTCAGGACAGCATCTCACCTATAAATAAATAAAGAAACTGCAGCATCAAAGGGACACCTGGCTTTCAGTACCCACAGCACAAACACCTCACAGGCACAGGCATAAAAAATCAGTTCCAGGCATGGAATCCAATAACCAGGCACTGGGAATGAATTCCAATTTGCATGAATGTATCAGTTTTAATGTCTTTCACCTTGGAAAAGGCCCTAATTTAAAATGCCAGCAGGTATAAGTGAACTTAGAATTTTACATCCTGTTAGATGAAAGAACTGAGAAAGCTGAAAATAAAACCTCATTTCAGATTTGGCTGATTTTTGGTAGGAACGCTGGCACTGGAACCCTGGCTTTGGTCTGGGACTGGCAGAGGAGGACACTGGGATGACGGTCAGGCTGGAAAGCACCTTCTGGCTCATCTGAACTTGAGCCAGACGTTGGAGATGCGAGTTTCCACGGGGGGTGGGGGGGGAAATTCCAGGAGAACAAAGCACGTAATTTATTTTACTCTTTGTTCTTACGTCTGACTGGATATAACCAATATTAACGGTAAGATTTTTTTTTTTCCCCTCAATGATTTCTGATGCTCTTGTGCAGTACAAACAACAGGAATTACAGCAGGGTCACTTGTAAGTACAGCTGCTCTTTCTTACCCCCAGGAATATTCCATAATGATACTTACTCGATGTATTCCCGCTTGTTTTCATTTGTTACCATGATTTCGGACCCATTGGGCTTCAGGTCCACTTGATATGTCTATATTTGAGAAGACCAAAAAACCTCCCATTACTTGAGGACATCCTTCTCCCAGAACCCACTCTCCCTGAGCAGCATTTTACAAGCAGTATCAGGAAATCATTAGTAAATTGATTTACACTTTCAAACAAACTTGCACTGACAGAAGGGAAAACTGGCAGAGAGGCTAATAATTTTATTATAATTATTATTTATAATAATGAAATTATACATTTATATAAAATATAACCACAAAGGACGTACTTTATATATAAAAAATTGTAATAGTTATTATTTACTTTACTAGAAGAAGCTAAATCGCACATTGAAACTGCCCAAAGCCAACCAGTATATTATATATATTATTATATCTAGTCTGTGATTGTATCTATTATATCTATTCTGTGGCCTCAGTACTCTTCCCTAGTTTTCCCCCTAGTTTTCCATGTAATCCAGAATCTTATGTTGCTTCAGGAAAAAGGCAGCTCACTACTGAGGTACTTGTTGGCAGTAACCAGTTCTGAGATGTAAAGAACCTTTACATACCTGTCCAAAGTTTTCCTCGTCTATGCAAAACATGAGATCCAGCTCCGTTGGGTCATTTTCCAGGATCCACTTCAGAGAGTTGTAGTATTCACTATCCTAGGGCAGATCACAATTCGGCAGTTTGAAAATGGGCGATTAGTGCGGAGCTGTAGAAAGCCATGGGCCTGTGAGCCCTGGCACGGTTTAAATGGGGTCTTACCACTGATTCCATGTCCTTCAGCGTTATGGGCTTCCCCAGCATCATCTTGTAGAAAGGTCTGATGAAGAAGCCTGCAAGAGAGAGGAGAGCGTTACGTGCCCTGCTCTGCACCTGCACATTCCGTAGAGGTACCGCTGCTTGAGGGCACCACCCCTGGCGCTTCCTGGTACCTCCTGACTGGAACAGTCCTGCAACTGCAACAGCATCATAGCAGCTCAGGTTTATTGAGGCACAGAAAGTCCAAT